TGACCAATAAAAAGAGAAGTTATTGTGAAACATACTTCAAATCTATGCTCGAACTCTTTTCATCAAATTTACTGGGGACTACACTTCTTTTGTGGCTTTTACATTTTGGATATGCGTTTGCATACTACGGATTTCAATTATTGTTATCTGAGTTGAGCAGTGGACAAATAGAATGTGGCTCAATAACTATCCATTCCGAAAATATCCAAGAATCTAGCCACTATATCGACGTATTTATTAATAGTTTAGCAGGTACTGCGACTTAAGAACTTGGATAAAAATGTAAAAGAAGCCAAAAGATAAAGAGACTTTTTAATTCTCTATTTTTACTGATGTCTGGAATACATAAGTAGTTGCTAAATTCATTATTCTAATTCTTGCAGAAGTTCCTGGGCTTATTGTAGCAGCAATTCTTGTGGATCGGTTAGGTCGCAAGCTTACCATGGAAATTCTTACCATTTTAGCTTTCATCCTTGTTCTACCACTGCTTACGCATCAAAATGAGTTGGTTACTACAGCTTCTTTATTCGGTGCTCGCATGTTCGTTTTTGCGGCAACTTCAACTTTAACTATCTACACAAAAGAGGTATGTTTTATTGTACCGTTCAATATATTATCGTTTATTTAGCCTAGGGATTCCATTCCATACTCGTATCGAAATCGAAGAACATTTTAAATTACTAGGCAGAGGTAAAGATGGGAGCCTGAGCCTTTTAGGTACGTCATGTGTGACAGAAGGAAACTACTCAAGAGAAGTGTTCATGCTCCGAGAAATTGAGTGAGACAACAATAGTATTTCAACCGAAGTAATTATAAGTGATTTTTAATTAGGATCCATGAGCAAATTAAGCAAGAGTATGAGAATTAGAAGTAGTTAATATAGGCCTTCCACTACAACTCCTGCACTGGTGATTCTTTCATTCGCAAACCAAGTTGACTCATGAAAAAATTGCAGAGTTGATCCCTACCTATAGAGATTTTTTACCAACTTGGCCATCAACCTTTCAAATCAGTTGCACACTAATCCTTGTGGAAAGTCATGTGAAGCAATGGTTCTATGCTAAGAACTTCAAGATTTAGAATGTAATTCAAAACTTCGATACAAATAATATTTTTTCTTCAGAAAGACTACTCATTATCGATGATATTGGAAGGCGTAGGCGGCCTGCGGTAACGAGCAAGGTAAGGCATTTCACGCTGACGCAAGACCGTTGACCCCCCATGGGCGCTCTACGTCCATGCGAGGCCATCGACCCCCCATGGGTGCTCTATCTTTATGCATGGCCATCGACCCTTCGGGGGCACTCTACCTCTACAAAAGACCATCGACCCTCCGGGG